GTGCCTGCCTAACCACAGCTGCTCTACCCATGGAACAGGATGAGCCAGTAGCAGCAGCCTTTTAAAATCCATTAAGATGATACAGACAGGGTTTCCTGATGCTTCAAAACTGTTTTTGTTGCTGGATGCTAGTGGCTTATGCCTTTACTCCTATCTACTTAGGAGGCTGGGATATGAGGATCCAGGTTTAAAGCCAGACCAGGTAGTCCATGAGACTCTTATCTCCAATTAACCACCAAAAAGCCAGAAGAGTGCTAGCCTAAGGTTAAAAAGCTAAGAGACAGTACCCAGGCCCTGCATTCAAGCAAAAGAAAGGAAAGAAAGAAAAAAAGAAGAAAGGAAGGGAGAGTGAGGGAGGGAGGAGAGAAGGGAGGGAGGTCCTTGGGAAGAAGGTAGAGAAAATTCTAGAAAAGCCCTGCACACTCTGAGTACAAGCCCCACCCCCAAGATTCTAGCACCATCCTGGCTCAGCCACAGTGATCTTCATGACCCTTTACCCAGATGCTAAGCTGAATTTGGATTTGGCTCAAGACAAATTGAGCTTCAGTGGGAGATAGGTCATCAGGGAACAGGAGCTGTGGTTATGAACTGACCTTCATCCTTGGGCCCAGGAGCTACAATATTGGGCCTGAATGAGGAAAACAAGAGCTTGGGAAATTCTACATCCTGCCTCCACTTCGTGTTAAGTGTCCTTGGGCAAGTTTTTAAGCCCACCAGAGCCAAGCTGTTCCTTATCTTTAAAGGGCTGGTTGGTGTTAAGTCACTGGGAGCCCAGAGAGTTTACCTTTCAAGGAGGAACAAGGGCAGCCTACCAGAGACACCCCCCCTGAGTGAACTGTTTCTCCTGGGCCCTGCTGCTCACCTGCTGGGCGGCAGGCTGGGCAGGTTCAGAGCTTCCTCCACTGAAGGCTCCAGTAAGAGCGCTGCCCACGACGTGTCCCACTGCCGATCCCACGGCTACCCCAGCGGCTGTGGACGCCATCTGTGCCATGAGGCCCGGCTGGCCCGATGGAACCGGAGCGGGAGCGGCAGCGGAGGGTGGTGGGTGCGCGGGAGGATGGGCAGAAGTTGTGGCCAGACGGCTGCAGAGGTAGGGAATGGCGAAGCGGGGGGAGGAAGCAAGATTAATTCTGGCCAGATCCCAAGCCAAGGACCTGTGGGGTCTGCAGGTCCTGGCAACGACCCCTGCTCGTCCCCAGCAAGGGGGAGCGCACCGTCCTGCACACGCGATGGCTGCGCGGCGCCCTCCCCCCGCCAAGATGGCGCGATCGAACTCAAGGTCACCCTCCGGAGGCCCTCGCGGGATGCGAGGCCCACGTTTCTCTCTCCCCCTTCCTCCCGGGACTAGGGACCCCTCACACCTGGCTGGCCGAGCGGCCGCACTGCGGCTGCCCCGAGGCATGGTGGTGGCGGTGGAACCAAAGTCAGTAGGAGACAGAGACGGTGGCTGGCGGCGGCTGTGTCACCGAGACTGGAAGCCGGGGCACTTGTCACTGCGGCCGAGGGGGCGGGGTTGGGAGGGGCCTCGTGGACACGCCCCTGCGGCCGAGGGGGCGGGGTTGGGAGGGCCTCGTGGACACGCCCCTGCGGTGAGGTTGGGAGGGGCCTCGTGGACACGCCCCTGTGGCCGAAGGGACGGGGTCGGGAGGGGCCACGTGGACACGCCCATGTGGCCGAGGGGGCGGGGTTGGGAGGGGCCTCGTGGACACGCCCCTGCGACCGAGGGGGCGGGGTTGGGAGGGCCTCGTGGACACGCCCCTGTGGCCGAGGGGACGGGATCGGGAGGGGCCACGTGGACACGCCCATGTGGCCGAGGGGGCGGGGTTGGGAGGGGCCTCGTGGACACGCCCCTGTGGGAGCCGATCGCTCCGCGGTTCCGGTGGAACAGGGTGGCCCGGGGCGCTCTCACTGCTCCGGGCTCCGGGTGGGAGGGTCCTGCGGACACCGGCCAAGGTCACAAGCCGCCAAAGGTTTATGTCGGCAATGTCAGTGAAGCTGTTGGAGCGGAGGTAGCGGGTCCTCCAAGTGAGGAAGGCGTCTCACTAGACAGTGGTTGACCACCAGCGGCGTGGCCTCCAGCCCGGGAAGATGTGCGACGGCCTAGAATGGCCACTAGGGGGCACAGGAACGCCGCTTTGATTTTCTGCGTGCTCTACCTCCAGCTGTGCCTAACCTAAGATCTCCATCTGCGGGACCTTGATTCCATTGTACTTCCTGGGCTCTATCTGGCCTGTTTCCCTGGGCTCCTGATCCCACGGATGCCACACTGGACGCTGACAGTGTTTTGTTTTGCGACATTCAAGCAATGTGCCCATTCCGCCAGCTGTGTGGCCGGACTGTCTAGAGCTGCTTGCTCAAACTAAAATCAAACCACACACAGATGTAAATCCTAAGGATTTAAGATTTCAGCACCTTCCAGACTAAGGTGAGGCCAGAGGAAGGAATTTAGAATGCTTCCTGACCCTTCAGGAAGGAACTCAGTTTTTATGGTGTTTACTGGGTTACTGTGACAGATCACATTATTGTTTACTATTCTGGTACTCTGTCTTAAATTCAGGTCTAGGGAGCTGTCCCTTAGCTTTTTTGATCAAGGTTAGCACTCTTATCATTTGAGCCACAGCTCCACTTCCAGCTTTTTTAGTAGTTAATTTGTAGATAGTGTTACTGGGTGGGGACTTTGCTGCGAGGAGGGTGGAGTCTGCTCGCCATCCAGGAGCGGACCTTACAGATAGAGTCTCACAGACTTTCCTGACCAGGTTGGCTTTGAATTGTCATCATTTCTCAGCCTCCTGTGTAGTGAGGATTACAGGTGTGAGCCACCAATCTCTGTCTATGATGTGATCATATTATGGCCCCTACTAAGAACTGGGAGAGACCCTGACTTCTTCCCCGCACCTTGGGGAGGTGGCTACCTGGCACTGGAAAATCATCAAAAGCAAGAGACTCCAAGAGTGGGGCTTTGATCACCAAGTCAAAAGCAGAAGTCAGTTCCTCTATGAGTGAATGAGAGAAGGGGAACAGGATACCTGCAGGATCCAATACACTACACAGGTATTCTGTACCACTATGCATGAAAGTCATGTCCACTCTTGTGCTCTTGCATTTATTCTTTTCAACTACTCTGTGCAAAATAAGCCATTCCCTCTTCAATGATGTGCCAGGTTTGCTCCAGCCTTCCCAGGCCCATAAAGTTGCTGATCACCTGGTTCCCATTGGCCAAATGAGCTTCCCTTCCAGGCTTATCAGAGTATTCCTCCTGTAAGAATCTGACTGTGATCAGCTATCCTACCAAGTGCACTGTTGGCTGGTAGTGATGGCACCCTCTCCCTAAAGGCCATTCTAGATGGCGTATGGCTTGTAGGTTTCCCCTAAAGGATTGTTATGCACCCCTGGATGCATTCAAGATTATTTTAAGGTACTCATACAAACGAATGCTTCATTTTTTAAAAATGCTGTTTTCATCTGTATCAGAAAACATATGAATTTCTCACCAAACTCTTGCTTTAGTATTGCTTAGAGGAGGCTGAGGCAGACACTGATACCAGTCTTTTAAAAATGAGGCATTTGATCTAAGCATAGATGGCTCATGTTTGTAATCATATCTACTCAGGAGGCTGAGATCTGATCGTTGAGGTTCAAAGCCAGCTACAGTAGGAAAATTTGTGAGACATTTATCTCCAATTAAGTACCAAAAGGCCAGAAGTGAAGCTGTGGCTCAAATGGTAGAACACCAACCTTGAGTGAAAAAGCTAAGGGAAAAACACCCAGGTCCAGAGTTCAAGCCCCACCTTGGGAGGGTGGGAATGGGGAAAGACATTTTAAAGAAAAGAACTGTTGATAGATAAGGTATAAAACTGACTGCTGGATGGGAAGGGATGGGAAGGGGAAACAAAGGAGGAGGCTACAATGCTTGATAAGAAATGAACTCATTATCTTGCCCATGTAATTGTAACTCCTCTGCACAGTATTGTCACAATAAAAAAAAAATAAATTAAAAAAAAAAACTGACTGCTGTCTTGCTCCTCCTCGCCCTGCAGGGGTCTCTGTTGAGTCGTCCTGGAGAAGCTGGGGGGGGAGGGGGGGGAGATTCTCAGCTTCTCTTTCTTTGCCCAGGCTGCTGGTAGCCTTACCTTGCAGCTGCTAGGAGCCCTGTCAAAACGGGAGGGAGCCGCTACCTTAATCTTTGCTCTTGAGGGTGCCAGAGAGGGGGCAGGTTGTCTGGGGTCCTGGGGGTGAGATTGGAGAACTCCTTCCATCATTGTGGATATGACTCCTTCTTTGATTCTCTCTTCTCCCCCCCTCCCCACCCCCCCCACCCCCCGCAGCAGGCCCTGGAAGTCAGGAGGGAGGCCCTGATCAGGGAACAGCCAGGGGCTCTAGTCCCCAACTGACACCTTTCTATTGCTCTCTCTACCCCCTGCTGGACCAGCTGGAGGGTCTTCTAACACTTCCGCTGGCGTTAGTAAGGACAAATCGGGCCCATCTCAGATCTTCAGTTTCTCCATCTATAAATTGTGCCCAGTTCGTTGCAAGGTGAGAGGCTGGTTAGCCTGTCATATGCCTCAGTGTTCCCCGGGACAAACTTTCCTCACAAGAGCTATTGTGGCATCTTCCATCCGGTTGGGCTGGGGAGTCCAGGGAGAGGTGGGGGGAACTTCTTCCTGGGTTTCAGAACCACCTGTCACCGAAGGTCGGAGGTCAGGCCCTCACGGAGACTCCGTGGGACAATTAGCCTTCCAAAAGTGGGGGGTAGGAATCGATCGGAGTGGAAACCCGACTCCTCTCTCTCAGACTCCCCTCCGAACTCAGTGAGCCCAACCCCTCCAGGGCCACCTCCCCCACCCCGGCCGGGGCGACGGTCGCCGGCGGGGAGAGTTTAGAACAAAAGGCGGCGGGGGGGGGGGGGAGAGGGGCGTGCCCGGGCCGGGCCGGGGGCGGAGCAAAGGCTATAAGGGGCGGTGGCCGGGCGCGGCCCAGCAGGCCCAGCAGCCCCCGGGCGGATGGCTCGGGCCGCCGGGTTCCGCAGCGCGGCCCCGCGCGCCCTCCTCCTGCTGCTACTGCTCGCGCTGCTGCCGCCGCTGCTGGCCCGAGCCAGGCCACCGGTGAGTGCGCGCCGCCGGCTTTTCGCTCCTCCTCCAGGGGAGGGCCGGGCACAAACTGAACCTTTGGGGGGCGCCCCTGGTATCCTTGGCGCAGCAGGTATGCTAAAGGCCTTTTGGTTCCCCTGCGGGTGTCCCGGCCCCGGGCGGTGTGCAGGTGGCGCCTGCGCAGCAATCGCTGTCCGCCCGGTGGGGCGCGCCACCCCGCGCCTGACTCACACCCCGGCTTCTCGCTCCACAGCCCCAGATGCTTGGGTTGTGTGTGTGTTGGGAGAAGTAGCAGAGAAACAAAGCGAAGCGGGTCCTAGGCAAGTGTCAGCCTCCTGTGGTGTGGCCTCCAGGGAGCGCACCTCCAGGTATGCGATGAGGTGGACAGTGAGTTGGACAGGAAGGGATACTGGAATGTGAACCTGGAGGAGATGCTGTCTCTGGCACCCGAGGAAGGCAGCTGTGGGACACTTGACACCCGGGAGAGCTGGAGTAAGATGGTGACATTGTGTGTGATCATCACGTGGGGGGCCGGGTCAGTACTGAAAATGGATGAGGTGAAGGAGAAGGTTCAAGTAAAGAGAAAAAAACAGATTGAGGAGAGAAGGGACGGTAATGGAGGGGGGGGTGCTGTGTACGGCACCTTTGTGTCCAATAGCTTCACTGTCTCTTCAGGCTGGACTTTAAGGCATCAGTCACAGGATGGCTAGGGGCAGGGGCAGGACACAACCGATCTACAGGGTCCCCCAAGACCTGGTCCCTTCAGCCTCACAGCTGAATGACCTAAACAATTCAGATGTGATGGGGGAAGAGAATGTGACAGGTCCTAGGACTGGTCCCTCTGTCCAGATACACTGGCTCTGTGCATGCCAGCTTTGTCCAGCAATGTGAGTGTAGAAAGAGATGGGGAAGGTGGAGTAGAGTGAATGAGGATGCCTCAATCCAGTGCACCTCCCCCAATCCAGCAGTTAAGCCCATGGGTTCAGAAATTGGAAAGATCTGTCTGGGTCTGAAACCAAGCTCCCTCCCCAGAACCTCACCCACCTGCTACACATTGAGGGGATAGGATGGGCTTTGGCAACAATGACTACAGCTGAGCCATGGTAGAAGCTAAATGAGGTGATATTATATACACTGGGGGGGCCGTCACCTGTAGCTGCCTCTCTATTTAGGGCTAAATGCTAGGGCTGGAGACTAGCCTGGAATGGGTCTGAGCTGCACTCTGAGACACACAAGGAGCGTTTGGAGTTTCCTCCAATGTGTTTATCCCCAAAATTGCTGTCAGCAGGACCAGAAGAACTCTGTAAATATTTATCCATCCCAGTTTCCAGTTCTCAGGAGTTAAAAGCCCAATGGGACAAAGCTGACTTCCCACTCCTCTCCCACTAGCCAGTAGGAAGGAGTGGAAAGAGAAAGATTATAGACAGACCTTGTAGCTACTGGTTGTGTGACTTGGGCAGTGTACCTGAGTTCTCTAAGCCTCAGATGAGCATGATCTGGGTATAGAATAGTGTAGGGATGTCCCAGTTTCTTCCTCACAGCCTAACAATGTATCTTGCTCTCAAGATTGCTCCCTACTAACATTAGAAAGTATAACTATGATTCATTATTTCCGTTACACCAAAAGCAAACTGGGGCCCAAGAATTGCACTGAACCAGCCTGCCCTTACCCTGAGGTTTCCTAGACTGGGGTCCTCCCTTATTTTCTCTTTACCTGGTACTTGCCATTATCTGAATGGGAAGATGATAAGCCTCTGAGCTATGCCAGAAAAGTGGGTTAGCCAAGACAGTTTTGAGGGTGTCTGAGACTGTAGGATGCTGGACCAGAGGGGTAGGGTAGAGTAAGACAGGCCCCTCCACTGGGTAAACCAAGAAAGGCTACTGGCCCAGGGGAGGGAATGCACTAGAAACAGAAATGCTTCTCAGGAATGTGGGTTTTGGAGATAATCCAAGAGTGGGAGAGTAGGCATGAAGGAGAGCTTTGGAGGGGGAGGCTTGAGCCCCAAATCCAGGCCCAGCTCTTACCTGACTTGCTGTGTGACCCTGGCTAAAGTCTTTGACCTCACTGAGTTGTTTCATCCTTTGGGATATAGGGTGATGGCTGTATCCTAAGCTCCTCAGGGCTATAGGTGAGATTAGGGGTGCTCTGTGCCACTACTCTACCTCATTGGATCCTAATTGTCCTGAGAGGACCAAGAATTTGGGGAGAAGAGATTCCCAAGTGTGGGAGAGGAGGATCTACAGGAGAAGCGGGTGCAGGGAAGAGCCCTTCTTTGTGCCAGATGCTACAGGAGCCATTATAAAACAATGACAACTCTTTGTTCTGGCACAATCCTCATTTGACACATAGAGAAGTTTAGGCTGTAAGAAGACAGTGACTTGCCCAGGATCACCATGACATAGAAATAGGCTTTGATACCCTAAGCTTTTCAGAATAGCTAGCCTTCCTACTCAGGAGGGTGAGATTGAAGATCACAGTTCAAACCAGTCCAGGCAGGTGAATCCAGGAGATTTATCTTCAATTAACCATCACACAAAAACAGGAAAACCAGGAAATGGAATTGTTGCTCAAATGATAAGCGTGCCAGCCTTGAGTGAAAAAGCTAAAGAACAGGGCCCAGACCCTGAGTTCAGTCCTCAGTGCTGGCAAAAAGAAAAAGAAGAAGGAGGAGGAGGAAGAGAAGGAGGAGGAGGAGGGAAGGAAGGAGGGAGGGAAGGAAGGAAGGAGAGAGAGAGAAAGGAAGAAAGAGAAAGAAAGGAAGGAAGAAAGAAAGAAAGAAAGACAAAGAAAAACCACTTACATTTTGGGTCTGATTCAGTGATCTAGCTATGGACTTGACTCATAAAGGAAGGGGAGGAAGGGGCTATAGTGGATCTAAGACATGTAGATCCATTGCCTTCCCTTTATTTGTTCCCAGGCCTTGCTGGGCAGCAGAGAAAAGAGATTTCTGGCATAATCCGAGCTGGCAGATGGGGCTCTGGGCTGTTTGGGGCTCTCCAGGGATGACACAACTCTATACTTTCCTGAGAGGGTCCCCAGGGTTAGGGGGAAGAAATCTGTTTCTCCTTTGGGAGGTGGAGTGACAAGCCCCTGTGGCAAGTCACACAGTCCTGGTATTCACATCCTAAATGTGACCCTTAGAGTAGATATTATCCTCTCACTTTATTGAGGAGTGATGGAGTTTCACTGAGCCTTAATTCAAAGTGTCTTGGAAGTTGCAGCTACTTAACAATTTCCTGTTCATTCTCTTCTGCAATCAAGACGAGGCTAGCCTGGGCCCTCCAGGGGACAGATGACTGTCTTTGAAGAGCAGAATAGATACAGTATCCAGGGGGTGAGCTGTGAGCATGGATACTTTGCTCCTTGACAGCTGTTACCTGAGCAAGGTGTTCCATTTCCTCATGTGAGGGATGATGACAATGGAACTGGCTGAAGGCACATGTGGGTGGAGGATGAAAACGGTTCTAATGTGCCATAGTGATAAGTACATTAACAGTAAGCCCAGAATTGTCTAAAATCTGCAAGCTAGTGAGGTTCAGAGTTGGTGTCAAGCTCAGAAACCAGAAGGAAACTGGTCTAGGGCACGAGACTCCCAGTAGTTTCAAGTCCCCTTAGTGGTTCAGAAGGCTCCTTCACAAAAGAGTGTCCTTAGATCAGGAATCCAGAGCTTGGAGGACTGGGAGCCTGATCACAACTCTGGGGTGCTTGGAGACTGGGAGAGGTGCCAGAGGCTGAGGCTGAGTGTGGAGCCAGAATGGCTGGGTGCCTGCCCCAAATATGGCTGTGGGGAGACTGTAGCCACCCAGATCAGACAGGCCCAGACCATACAGGTGCCTCAAGTAGCTTAGCAAACAGCATGGCTCCAGCTCTCTTATTTTTGGAGGGAGGGGGGCAGTTCTGGGGCTGGAGCTCAGGGCCTGGGTGCCATCCCTGAGCTTCTTTTGCTCAAGGCTAGTGCTCTACCACTTGAGCCACAGTCTCACTTCAGGCTTTTTCTCAGTAGTTTATTAGAGATAAGAGTCTCACTGACTTTTCTGCCTGGGCTGGCTTCAAACTGTGATCCTCAGATCTTAGCCTTCTGACTAGCTAAGATTACAGGCATGAGCCACCACCATCCAGCTGGCACCATCTCTTTCCTCCTACCCAGGCTTTAGTACAGTGTCCTGAAACAGGCCCTTGCCTTTGATCTGGTGTGCCCCCACCAGACTCTTGTTGGGTAATCTCACAGGGTTTTTATATGTCCCTGCATTTCCACTTTTCTCCTGCATAAGAACTGTGAGTTCCACTCTGAGGACTTAAAGAAGACGGGAGGATGCAGCTCAGGTGAGAACTGCCATCGGTGGTCTTCGAGTTGTGGCAGAGTCTGGCAGGGATGCCTTGAATCTCCCTGCGAGAAAAATCACAGATTGGCTTTGGCAGGGTGTGAGCAAAACATCTTTGCTAGAAGTCTGACCTCAGGTGGATGGAGGTGTAGATTATCGGAAGGGTACTTGGACCTGTGCTAAGTACACACTTTTATGTATCATTTCATTTCATCCCCAGATCAACACTATTGTAGGAGAGTATTGCCCTCATTTATCAGGTGAGCAAGCCAAGGCCATGCTGTAGTTTCTCCATGCTGGGGGAGGGGCATGGAGGCATGTGGGGAAAAAGAAAGGGCCAAGCCTGTTCATATACCTAGGGACCAGGTATGTCTGAGCTCAGTGGACATAGGATGAAATAAAGATAGAAATGGCTTATGGAAGGGCCTTTGAGGGAGCAGAAGGCACTTGCTTGATGTTTCCTTGGAAACTCTGGGATTATATACTGTGTAGGTTTGAAGAATATAGTTTGGGGCTCATAGATTATGCTCTCCAAATCTGTGCATTTTCACTCAAACCTTGCTGATCAGCTGGGTGGGGGTGAGGTTGTGTCACACAGCCCAGAGAGGAGAAGAAGCAAGAGAGGAGGATGAAACTTGGTGCCTTAGAACAAGATGTCAAGAAACCAGAATTAGCCCAAGATCAAAGGACTGTGTTGCCCTTGCCCTTTAAGCCCTCACTTTTCCCAGTGACACTGTGGGTCTGGGTTGCACCTGCTGAGGTGTCATAGCTCTAACTGTGGTCCATCAGGACCTGAGGGCTCACCTGGATGCTCTTGCTTGCCCAGGACACCCACCACCACCAATCTGTGAGGAAGAGAACACAGCCTCAACATGCAGCTCTGCCTGCCTCTGCTGCCCAAGAAGTTCCCCAGCCTGCTGGTGGGCTTAGACTTCCACGATGTGGTGTACCTGACCCACCCGATGGGCTAAATGCCCGCAACAGACAAAAGCGTTTTGTGCTGTCTGGAGGGCGCTGGGAAAAGACGGACCTCACCTACAGGTAGGCGCCAAAGGCCAGGGGACCATGACCATGGGTCCATAGGAGAGCCTGTTGTGCCTTCATACCTGCTTCCTGAGACACATTAGGGCTACACCTACATGTGTGCCCACTTGGCCCCAGCCATCCATGAACTAACACCCTGAAACTCTAGCTTAAAGAGAGATTGATACCCTACTGCAGTGCTGGGGCAGGACCTCTGTCATCACTAGAAGTCACCTAGGCCTGCTTTACTGGGGACCTGTAAGGGCCAAGTCTAGAACTACATGTGGATGAAGCTAAGACATAGCCCTGTCCTTTCAGGGAGGTGGCTTGTTCAAATCTACCATCATAACATGAGCCTTGTGCAGGCAGAGACTATGGTGAGTGGGGATTAGTGATGTCAGGCTCCTCACTGGTTGTTCTGGAAGGCTCCTGGGCAGGTAACAAGGAAGCTGAGATATTATAGCTTCAGAGAGAATGGTCTAGTATGACAAACACAGCATTGGAGCTAAGACTATGGAAACCTTAGGAATTTTCTGGATGAAGAACTAGGAACCATGGACAAGGCTCAAGGGGCCATGGTCTCCCCATAATGAGCAGTATGGTCACTGTGTTCTTTCTACCAAATGCAGACACCTCTGGGCATCTAAATAGATGCAAAGACACACTCGTGTGCCGGGAGACTAGTTCATTGTAGTCGAGACGCAGAGCACATGTGGTTTTCACATTCACACAGTCATTGGGCATCTAGGAGCAACTCTTGTCTCCTCAGTCACCAGGGGCTTGCATGCCCCAGGCCCAGTCTCCTCCAACTCCCCCCAGGATCCTCCGGTTCCCATGGCAACTGGTACAAGAACAGGTGCGACAGACGGTGGCCGAGGCCTTACAGGTGTGGAGCGAAGTGACACCACTCACCTTCACTGAGGTGCATGAGGGTCATGCGGACATCATGATCGACTTCACCAGGTGAACCTATGACCTAGGAACCCCTCCAGGAACAAATTCTACTGCCAGCAGCCTCTGACTCTACCTGCCCCCCCCCCCAATCCATCCACAGGTACTGGCATGGGGACAACCTTCCATTTGATGGGCCTGGGGGCATCCTCGCCCATGCCTTCTTCCCCAAGACCCACCGAGAAGGGGATGTCCACTTTGACTATGATGAAACCTGGACTATAGGAGACAATCAAGGTAAGGGCTCAATACACATCTTCCAGATGGGGCAACTGGAGGTCACTCCAAGAGTGTCTGAGGACCTGAGCTTAAGTTCTGGAGCTAATGGCAGAAAATAGAGGATGACTGGCCTATTTACTTCCCTTTTCCAGGCACAGACCTGCTACAGGTGGCAGCTCATGAATTTGGCCACGTGCTAGGGCTTCAACATACAACAGCAGCTAAGGCCCTGATGTCTCCTTTTTATACCTTCCGTTACCCACTGAGCCTCAGCCCAGATGACCGCAGAGGTATCCAGCATCTATATGGCAGGCCCCACGAGGCCACCACCTCCCAGGCTGCAACTCTGGGTCCCCAGAATGGAGTAGATACCAATGAGATTGCACCATTGGAGGTGAGGCTGGAGAGGGTGAGAAAACAGGAGGTGCCAGACCCCTGCTGGTCTTGTTGGCTCCAGTGTGAGCTTTCTCTCTCACTCTAGCCGGAAAATCCACCAGATGCCTGTGAGGTCTCCTTTGACGCAGTCTCCACCATCCGAGGTGAGCTCTTCTTCTTCAAGGCAGGCTTTGTGTGGAGACTCCGTGGTGGCCGGCTACAGCCTGGGTACCCGGCACTGGCCTCTCGCCACTGGCAAGGACTGCCCAGCCCTGTCGATGCAGCCTTCGAAGATGCCCAAGGCCACATCTGGTTCTTCCAAGGTAAGTAGGAGTTGGAGGTCAGCTGAGGACTTCCTTGAGCCAAGAATACCACAGCTAAGGGTTGAGATAGACAAGCTCCTCTCAAGGGGACACAAAGGACAGTGAGAGGGGGGCTTTCCAAGGCACAGCTGGGAATCTCCCAGAGGAGGCAATTCTTGAGATCACAGCACTACAGATATGGCACAGTAGGGCTGTACGTTGGTACATTTAAATCCCAAAGCTACCCCATGGGATGGAGTTTTAGAAGTTTTAGAGCTGAGGTCTCAGGCTCACAGGTGATGGAATGACTCACTGGAGGATGGCTCTTGGAAAGGGGAAAAGAGGGATTTGATTCAGGTCTGAAGACCCCGGAGATTATACTTTCAACTCTCAACTGCCAAAGCAGCATTTCAGATGCCAAGACCATACACAAAGGGGGGCCATGGGAAACTTCCATATGGGTTCCAAAACATCCAGGGATCTGCTATGGCAGGGCTCAGGGCCCAAGGAGTGGGCAGCAGGTTATTTGTAATGCCCAGATCAGGAACCCAGGTGGCCTTCTATAAATTAGAATAATCTTCCCATGTATTATTTTATAGAGCCTTCCTTATAGCTTATCCCAGATGACCTAAATAGGTCAGGTAAGCAAGCACTGTCAGACACAGTGTTTATAGTTAAGTAAACTGAGGCTGAAAAGAGTCCCTGGAAGTGGTGAAGCAGGTCCATTTTGTCTGAGTGTGGCAGTGGTGGCTTAACAGTTCCTTGTAACTTCCTCTCTTCCACAGGTTCCCAGTACTGGGTATATGATGGTGAGAAGCCAGTCCTAGGCCCTGCACCCCTCTCTGGGCTAGGCCTGGTGTGGTCCCCAGTCCACGCTGCCTTAGTCTGGGGTGCTGAGAAGAACAAGGTCTACTTTTTCCGAGGTGGGGACTATTGGCGTTTCCATCCCAGCACTCGGCGTGTGGACAGTCCTGTGCCTCGCCGGGCGACTGACTGGCGAGGGGTACCCTCTGAGATTGACGCTGCCTTCCAGGATGCTGACGGTGTGTGGGGCTGAGCGGTGGCTGGCAGAGGGTAGTGTAATAATTGGACTCATTCATACGTACTTCAGGAGGCCCAGCTCTTCCTCACAGGAGTGGGATGCCAGTACTATGCCCATGTTGCAGATAAAAAGACAGGGCCAGAGAAGCACAAGGGCTTGTCCAGGTCCCTCAACCATACGCAATGAGAAAATAACCGCAGCATAACAAGGGTCGCCAATGCTTTAGCCACAACACTAATGTACTTATACCTCAAAGTAGCCTTCTGACATAACATCTCTTATAAACTCAGTTTCTAGAGAGACAAACAGAGGCTCAGGCTATGAGATGCCTTACTAGGGTAACATAGGTAAACGGTGATCGAGCCCAGATTCCCATTAGACAGTCCCTGTTCCTAACCACTGAGCAACCAGCCAGGCTGGAACTCAAAGCTCAGGACTGACTTGCCTGCCAGTATCCTCTTTTTGTATCTTTCCATGTGGTACTCTCTGGGAGTGCAATCTGGAAGTAGCCTGGAGCTTTGGCACACTCTAGGATGTCTTTGTGGTATGGTTGGTGAGATTGAAAGTAGAGTGATGAGGAAGTTGGTGAGGGAACAGAACATGCTTTCCTGAGAGGTAGGAATTGAGCTAAGGCTCTAGGTACCTCAAGACTAGACCCTGGTACAGGACGACACCCTGGAAGGGCTCCTAGGAAGGAAAGGAGGTTTTGGAAGGGCAACCTTGGAGCTTCAGCAGTGGGAAGTCAAGGCCTTCCCATCCAACCCTTCCCCCATGCCTGTCTCTGGCCACAGCCAGCCAGGCAGGTGCAGAACCCAGTGTCCACTTGCCCAGGTCTTATCTTCTTCTCTTTTCAGGCTATGCCTACTTCCTGCGTGGCCGCCTGTACTGGAAGTTTGACCCCGTGAAGGTGAAGGCTCTGGAGGGCTTCCCTCGCCTTGTGGGCCCTGACTTCTTTGGCTGTGCTGAGCCTGCCAACACGTTCCGCTGAGACTGTGGCTTGAATGCCCTCAGGATAACTGACCCACAGCCATCTTTGTGGCTCTGGACACCAGATATGAGTCAAAGCCTGTGTTTCCTCAGTTGGGGTGGGCTGGGGGGGGGGTAACCACCATGACAACTGTGGGGAGGGCCACGCAGGTCGTGGTCTCCTGCTGGCAAGTGTCTCAGACCAGACAGGGAAGCTTTGGAGTTACTGACGTGTGAAGGAGGTGTCAGGCTGGCTTTGCCATACCTTTGTAGGTCATGGTCAAACCTAGCTTCTCAAGGCCTCCATCTCTGGCCCTCAGAGATGGGTGAACTACAGCATCTGATCTTCTCTCTATTCCTGCTGTAAGGTTCCGGCAGAGTATTAGTGTTGGAGCTTGTATGTAAGGTATACCCTGGCCTTCTGCTCTAACCAAGCAAGGCCCTTTCCTGAGACGTCAGATCTGGGTAGATGTTTAGATCTGGCTCTCTTCTAGCTGGTGATCCTAGAGATCTATTTCTCAGGATGTAGGCCAAAAGGCCTACAACCAGCTAGGGAAGGCTCTGTTTCAACACAGAAACCCTTACCTTCAGAGGCCCCAGCATACCTCAATCCTGTCCTGGGCCTCGTGAAGCCCTTATCCTAGCACTGGGTCTTCCAAAGCCATGTAAATGTGTGTACAGTGTACAAAGATTTTTTTTAAAAAACAAACAACCCTGAGGACTGTCATTAAATATGATTGTTTTCTAAGTGCCTGCCTGGTGTCTCTTTGTAACTGCAGTAAGGATGAGGAGGCCTGGTTCCTGTTAGCCCAAGCCTAACATGGAAGCCAGGGTCAAAGTTCACTTTCCAAATACTTAGGGCTCCTTCTTTCCATTTTCTATCATATCTGGAGGAACATCTAACAAAGTAGTGGCAGTTTCATTTGGTCATGCCATGCCCTATCTCCTATCTTAAAAGACTTCACTTTCCACTGCTATGAAAACACAGAACAAAATTCATGGTTACTGCTGTTCTTCACGATCATCTAGCATCAACTTGCACTGTCTTCTAGGTCCTCATATCTTTTTCGTAATAGCAATTATTGAACCTTAGAAAATCATCAACAGGGGCTGGGAAGGTGGCTCAGTGGTAGAGTGCTTGCCTTGCATGTATGAGGCCCTGGGTTCGACTCCTCAGCACCAACATAAGAAAAAAGAAAAAAGCCTGAAGTGGCGCTGTGGTTCAAGTGATAGAGCGCTAGCCTTGAGTTGAAGAGCTGAGGGACAGTGCCCAGGCCCAGAGTTCAGGCCCCACGACGGGACCCAAAAAAGAAAAGAAAAAAGAAAATCATCAACAGATGCTGGATTGGTTGGACATTTTCCTTAGTGTTGGGCCCTTCTCCCCACCTCTGATCCACAAGTGGGATGGGACAGAGCCACAGGGCAGGGCTACGCTTGTTGCAGACACAAAATGCAAAGCTAAGAAAGAAAAGGTAAAGGAGTCCCTCCTCTCCAACACTCCTCTGATGCACTAGCCACGCCAAATACTACCTGGCCTTTGAATATTACTAAATACCAAAGTCTTTGCCCAAGCTACCCTCATTCAGTGTTAACATGCTGCCCACAGCCTCAGGAACAGCTATTGGCCCGGAACTGGGATATTTTTTTTTTCCTAGGAGTATTCTTATCTGTTCAACTGCACTGCTTTGAGGGGTGGAGAAAATGGGGATGTCAATTTCGGGTCACAAACATGCTCAAAGCTCTCAGGGTCCCAAATGTAGCTCTGACCCCCGCCAGGCCTGAGGCCACACTTCCTTTCTTCAACCTTGGGCAGAATGCCAGTTCTGGCTGTGAGACTGAGAAAACCACCGCCTGAGTCCAGTCCGCAGTGGCTATTTCTGTCCGTGAGAAGCTTTCCTGGGCATCAGATTGAGGCAACAGCCTCTGGTGGAAGAGAAATGGGTCGTGGTTCCTTTAAGGGACCCACGGGAACGTGCGGGCCTTTTGTTTGGGCGGCGGCAGAGGCGCGCGCGTTAGCGTCAACATCCGCGCATGCGCAGTCTGGACGGCCTGGTCGTCGTTTGCGGCGGCAGCTGAAGATCCCGGTGGTGGCGCGAGCTCCGGCCCGGCCCGCCCTTCGTCTCTTGACCTCGGTTCCCTCACTCCGGCGCGCCTCAGCCCCGCCCCAGCCTTCTTAAATCCCTCAGCAGTTCGGATCCGGCCGCCCGCCTCCGCCGCCACAATGATGATGATGGCACTGAGCAAGACCTTCGGGCAGAAGCCCGTGAAGTTCCAGCTGGAGGACGACGGCGAGTTCTACATGATCGGCTCCGAGGTAGCCCCGCGGCGCGTTCTCGCCCTCCCGGGCCCGGCCCCGCGGGAGCCCCAGGGCGGGTCTGTGCGCCGGGAGCGCGCGTCCCCATTCATCGCCAGGGCGGCGGCGGCGGCGGGCGGGCGCGTGCTCGGGGATGGGGGCGTGGCCAGATGGGCGTGGCCGAGCTCGACCCTACCTGGAAGGTCTGAGTTCAGTGCATTTCTTGGTGACGGGGCTACCCGGGCCTAGGGGTGCTACTGGTCTCTCGTTGAGTTGGTCTAACTCCACCCGGATGCAAATAATGGAGTGTTCGGTTAGCTCTTGTGGCGGTGCTTGGGAGTGGAGATGCACTACTAACTACTGCCCTCGAAAATTTTAGAGATGGTGGAAATCTCATGTGCACCCTTTACCCCTTTGCTCCATTCAGGGTCCTGAAATCTTGGTTGTAAGCCTTCAGCTTAGGAAAGTTCCCTCCTCTTTGTATTCCTTGCCTCTGAGATGGGAGGTAGAAGTAGTGTTCTGCTGGCTGACTGACTTCAGGAAAACCCTACATCTGGCCCCTCAATGAAACATTTGTACTGAGTGTATTAAATTTTTACAGATCCACTCAAACTAGTCCTTTTTTAGTCCAACAGTAGCACCCTACTAGTTCATATTTTACACACACACACACACACACACACACACACACACCTCTGTGGGTATAGCCAGGAGCTGTGGCTTGTGCCTCTAATCCTAACTCCTCAGGAAGTTGAGATCTGAGGATCACAATTTGAAGCCAGCCTAAGCAGGAAAGTCCATGAACCTTCAGTTCACCACCGAAAAGCTAGAAGTGGAGTTATGACCCAGTTGGTAGTGTGCCAGCCTTGGGTGAAAAAGCTGAGGGATAGAACCCAGGCCATGTCCAAAGCTCTACTTCCAATACACACACACAACTATGGGTATAAAATTCAGATGTGCAAATGTCAATAATAGAATCAGGTAAAAATAAATGCCAACTCTGTAGAGCTAAAGCCATTTCAGAATGCCAAAGATTACCTCTCCTCTCAACAGTGTTTATACTGCAACATTTCATTCAAATTATTATTTTGGCAGTATTAAATTTAGGTACTCAAGGCTCCATGCTTTTACCTACTAGGCTGGCTCTCTACCACTTGAGCTAATCCACTAGCCCTGCTTTTTGTTAGCTATTTTGGAGGTGAAGTCTAGTGAACTTTTTCTCCTAGAATAGTGTTGAATCTTCCTCCTCCATATTTCAGCCTCCTGAGTCGTTAGGTTTACAGATGTGAGCCATTGGCACTTGTCTAATTTTTTTTAAACAATTGAACATAGTGTGATGAATGAAACCTCATGTTATTAAGAGACCACCATTGAACTTTGTTTTTTCTTTTCTTTCTCTCTCTCTCTTTCTTTCGTTCTTTCCTTGTGCCAGAACTGGGATTTAATCTCAAGGCCTCATGTTCTAATTTAGTTTTTTTTTGTTGTTTCTTTGCTTTTTGCCAGTCTTGGGGCTTGAACTCAGGGCTTGGGCACTGACCCTACCACTTGAGCCACAGCACCACTTCCAGCTTTTTTGAGTAGTTTATTCAAGATAATAGCTCACTAGGACTTTTCTGCCCAGGCTGGCTTCGAATTTCAATCCTCAGCTCTAAGCCTTCTGAGTAGCTAGGATTACAGATGTAAGCCACCAGTGTCCGACTTAACTTAGTTTTTTTTGATCAAGTTTGGAGCCCTACTACTTGAGCTACATCTCCCCTTCTGGCTTTTTGGCGGTTTATTGGAGGTAAGAGTCTTAGTTTCTTGCCCAGACTGACTTCAAACCAAAGTCCTTAGATCTCAGCTCCCTGAGTAGCTAGAATTACAAATCTAAGCCATTGGCACCCTGCTATATCAAAGCTTTAATGTTTTAATTTTCACCATTTTTAAATTAAACAAGAAGGGCTGGGAAGGTGGCTTAGTGGTAGAGTGCTTGCCTTGCATGCCTGAGGCCCTGGGTTCAACTCCTCAGCTCCACATAAGAAAAAAGAAAAAAGCTGGAAGTGACGCTGTAGCTCAAGTGGTAGGGCACTAGCCTTGAGCTGAAGAGCTGAGGGACAGCGCCCAGGCCCAGAGTTTAGGCCCCATGACCGGACCCCCTCCCCCCCCCCAAAAAAAAAGAAAGGACAAAATGCAATAAGCTGATCAGATTGTCACTTAAATGCTGTTGTTCTAATAATGCGATGCTGAATACAGCCCATTCCTGTACATAGTCCTTGCTGGCCAGTAGGCATCTGCTTAAATGCCAAATGCAAAAGGCAATTGAGTTACAGAACCTTGATACATAGCTAGTTGTATCTTAAAGAAACCTTTACCTGATATGCTGAGTGAAAAAGTAATCTGTTTGGCCTTGGTTCTGACTGAGTGGTATTTCTGAAAAGAAAACTTTTCTTTGGTGGAGTAATTGAGAAACAGCTTGTGGTTAGGTGGGAAGAACTTCAGGAGGCTTAGTTACTACCCTGCTCTGTGTCCCCCCACCCCTCGCTTTCTTTTTAGTGCTGGAACTCAGCCCAGGGGCCTTGCATATGCTATGCACATGCTCTACCCCTGAGCTATCCCAGTTTGTTTCATTTTCCCATGTGTAAAGTGAGATACTTAGACTCTGTGATACCTCAATACCTTCCCCCAAACACATTTTAGGTTTTAGAAAGTGAACTGAAGTCTTTTCTTTCTGCTCTTTCACTTTTGACCCTCCTGTGGAATGATGATAATCATCCTGAGATGCAGAGATCTGGCTTAATAATCACAAGTTTAAGGAAAGGCTCAAAGTCTTTGCACTATTTCTACCCAGTTGTTCCTGTGGCAATCTTGGATGTGGATGGATGGCCCTTGGCCTCTTTCCCCTTGGAGAATAGATACTGTATTCAGACAGGTGAGCCAGCTTTAGCAACATATAGTTTAGCATACATGAAGCTACCTTGGGAGGCCATCTGCTGTTGCTATGAGTATGCATCACAGTTCTACCATCTTTTTTTTTGGGGGGTGGGGGTCCGGTCATGGGGCCTGAACTCTGGGCCTGGGCACTGTCCCTCAGCTCTTCAGCTCAAGGCTAGCGCTCTACCACCTGAGCCACAGCACCACTTCCAGCTTTTTTGTTTTTGCTTATGTGGTGCTGAGGAATGGAACCCAGGGCCTCAAGCATGCAAGGCAAGCGCTCTACCACTGAGCCACCTTCCCAGTCCCTTCAGTTCTACCATCTTTAAGCAGTTCAACTTAGCAAACCAGAGTCACCGAGGTTTTAGTACCCTAAGATATGTCAGAGTCCAACATTTTCATTTTACATTCAGGAAACCTAAATGGGAAGAGGATAAAGGCTGGTTCAGGAAAAGCCAGGTAGATAAGCCTCAGTGTCTTAAGTTCAGAAGGGCCCTTGGGAGGAGTCAAGGT